ACAGCACATAATATTTGACTAGCAATTTTTCAGGATACTAGTATACAGCTTAAAGTGACATTTAAAGGCTTAACTAGATAAATTGGGCAAGTAAGGGTAAATAGGTCAGTGTATAACGATGGTTTGTTTTGTAGACAATCAGAAAATATATAGCCTAAAGGGGCTATTTTGACCTTAAAATGGTTTTTAAAAAAACAAAAAATTGCTTTTATTCTTGTCAGAATAAAACAAATAAGACTTTCTCCAGAAGATAAAATATTATCAGACATACTGTGAAAATTTCCTTGCTCTCTTAATCATCGTTTGGAAAATATATAAAAAGAAAAAGTAATTTACAGGAGGTCAAATAATTGTGACTTCAACTGTGTACAGCATATCATTCATTTTCTTGTCGGATTAGTCCCTTTATTAATCCGGGGTCACCACAGCGGAATGAACCACCAACTTATCCAGCCAGTTTTTTATGCAGCGGATGCCCTTCCAGCTGCAATCCATCTCTGGGAAACATCCACACACACATTAACACACACACACACTCATACACTACGGACAATTTAGCCTACCCAATTCACCTGTACCACATGTCTTTGGACTGTGGGGGAAACCGGAGCACCCAGAGGAAACCCACGCGAAGGCAGGGAGAACATGCAAACTCCACACATAAACGCCAACTGTGCCGAGGTTCGAACCAGCGACCTTCTTGCTGTGAGGCGACAGCACTACCTACTGCGCCACTGCCTCACCACAGTGTATCACAAATGTATAAATAGATGCTGTATATAGTGTTCAACAGACTTAAAACCACAAACAGTATTTAAAGCCAACATGAAATCCAAACAAAATCCAAAGCACTTTTAACACTGACTTCTTTTTAGTTCATGCTGACAGCCAATTGTCTTTCACATCCAATTTATTAGTATAAAAGAAAACACTAGAATAGACAAACTGTCAGCAGTTAGTGAGGGGAAGTCAGCAGGAGCCCAGTGCTGTAAACACAAGCCAAAATCACACTTTATCCTATAAATACAAGCCAAAGAAGAACCTAAAAACAAAAAGGCTGAATTTCATGATAAAACATAATTAATATGTGTTTAATAATTAATAATTAAATAATAATTAATAATAATTAATAATTAAATAAATTGCCTATTTCATGCTTACACATAAAATAGCTAAGCCTTAGTTAAAACTTATCAAGAAGTAGTTTGATTGGACAAAGAGCAAGTAAACAGCAACACATGTCCAGCTTTGTCCAGGAAAAGCAGCCCTTCATCAAGCTCCACTATAGAGAACGCTCAGATACCCACAATGGGGGTTATTAAGGAGTGTGTGTGTGTTTCGGGCTTCAGCTGTCCCTCTGTTCTTCAGTATCTGGACAGGGATCCAGTAACCAGCGGGGCAGCTCGTTTACAGCCCTCATCATGATATGTGATGTAATGAGGCCATTAGATCCTGCTAATAGGTTGTCGGAGCAGTCAAGCGAAAGAAAAGGCTGGTGGATCAGTTTGCCCGCTGCTCTCAGGGTGGTCGAATAACACTGCCATTGAGAGAGCTCAGGTGTGTGAGGGGTGCAGGACTCACTCACGCTGGCCTCCGAGATTACTTTTTTTAAACAGTAGCTATGTTTTCATCCAAAAATAAGGGAAGTGGGTGGACGGGTCAATCGGTGCTTTTGAAAACACTTTTGGTTGGGTTTAGGGAAGAGGAGGGTGGGTCAGTCAGTCAGTAAGTCAGTTAGTCAACAGCGGCATCTGGTGGATTTAAGTAAGAATAGCAGGCACAAATGGCACTCGCAAGAGAAATTTGAGATCTGAAAAGCATACACAGCGGCTTCTGGTGGATTTGCGAAAACAAAAACAGCAAAAAAAAATGTATTAAATGTATTGTTGTTTGTTCATAACAGTATACATTAAGACATATATGTTTAGTTTTTTTTTTTTTGTTTTGTGTTGTGTTTTGTTTCCATTTGTTTCCTTTTGTTTCGTTTGCAAATGTAGACCTTTTTTGTTTTGTTTTGTTTCTTTTTTTCTTTGTTTTGTTTTATTTTGTTTCTTTTTTGTTTGTTTTTGTTTGTTTAGTTTTTTGTTTAGTTTTTGTTGTCTTGTTTTTTGTTTTGTTTTGCTGTTTTGTTTCTTTTGTTTGTTTGTTTTTGTTTTGTTTTGTTTTGTTTTGTTTTGCTTTTGTTGTTTTGTTTTGTTTTGTTTTGTTTTGCTTTTGTTGTTTTGTTTTGTTTTGTTGTTTTGTTTCTTTTGTTTTGTTTTTTTTTCTTTTGTTTTGTTTTTTTTGTTTTGTTGTTTTGTTGTTTTGTGTTTTTTTGTATTGTTGTTTTATTTTTGTTTTGTTTGTTTGTTTGTTTTGTTTTGTTTTCTGTTTTGTTTAGGCACGGTGGCATAGCATGTTAGCCTTACAGCAAGAAGGTTGCTGGTTTGAGCCTCGGCTGGGTCAGTTGGTGTTTTTGTGTGGAGTTTGCATGTTCTCCCTGTGTTTCCTCCAGGTGCTCTGGTTTCCACCACAAGTCCAAAGACATGCGGTACAGGTGAATTGGGTATACTAAAACTGATCATAGTGTATGAGTGTGGGTGTTGGAATGAGTGTGTATAGATGTTTCCCAGTGATGGGTTGCAGCTGGAAGGGCATCCGCTGCGTAAAACATATGCTGGATAAGTTGGCGATTCATTCCACTGTGGCGACCCCAGAATAATAAAGGGACTAAGCCGAAAAGAAAATGAATGAATTTGTTTTGTTTTGTTTTGTTTTGTTTTGTTTTGTTTTGTTTTGTTTTGTTTTGTTTTGTTTTGTTTTGTTTTGTTTTGTTTTGTTTTGTTTTGTTTTGTTTGCAAATTTAACCATCTGCTAGTATTGAAATAAAAGAATACCACATAATAAAATTAAAGCCAAGCAGAAACGATGCAAAAAGAGGATTGTTTTATCAATAGTTGGTCATGCTTGTTTAAATGTCATCTACTCAGCAAAAAATATAAACAGGCTATTTTCAAATAGCAAGCAATGTGGTAATTTCCTCGAGCTGCCCATTAGATGAAAGGCACACAGACCCGGCTGGAGGCAGGTTGCCTTGGCGCCTGTTGCTGAGGGAATGGGTCCAGCAGCTGTCACGATGATCATCCTCTATCAGGTGCTGCTGATATATGCAGGAGCACAGTGCAAATGTCAGCTAATTAAACTCTAGACACTTGACATTTCTCACCTGGCCTCACCTGTATCTGAAGTGTTCTCTACTGGCTTGTGTCAAAACTGTCAACAGTATCTCCATACGTTCATTTAAATAGCCGAAATTTAGTCTGTAAATTCTGTTTAGCACAACAAGATTGAGTTGACGTATCTGTGTTGGGTCTGAACATATATCTTCATGCTTCTTACATATTACAGGATCTAAAACACGAGGAAACATCTGAAATTAAAAAGAACCTCATATACTAATATAATAAGTGCATGTATGTTTTCCCCCTCTCTTATAATTAGTTGTGTGTGTGTATGTGCGTGCGTGTGTGTGCGCGTGTGTGTCCAAATTCATTGTTATTTTAATGCATTGTAATTGTTTTCTTATATTATATGAATATTCATAGCTTTCTGTTATTTCTGCCACCTAAATGTGATTTGATATTATTCACACATAGCATTCTGACAGTAAAAACTATGTAGCTTTCTGTTTAAGAAAAAAGAGCTTTAGCTTTAGCATAGTTTAGCATAAATCATAGAATCAGATTTGACCATCAGCATCTCTTTTGTTTTAATTTATTTATTTTCGTATTGTTCGAGACCTTTTAGCTTAGCATAGCATAAATCATAGAATTTGATTAGACCATTATTATCTCTCTTGTTTTGTTTTGTTTTATTTAGTTTTGTTTTGTTTAAGACCTTTTAGCTCAGCTTAGCATACATCTTTAAATCGAATTAGACCGTTAGCATCTCTCTTGTTTTGTTTCATTTCATTTCATTTTGTTTGAGACCGTTTAGCTTAGCTTAGCATAAATCATTGAATTGGAATAGACCATTAGCATCTCTCTTGTTTTGTTTTGTTTCGTTTGATTTCGTTTTGTTTTGTTTGAGACCTTTTTGCTTATCTTAGCATAAATCATAGAATTTAATTAGACCATTATTATCTCTCTTGTTTTGTTTTATTTAGTTTTGTTTTGTTTAAGACCTTTTAGCTTAGCTTAGCATAAATCATTAAATTGGATTAGACCATTAGCATCTCTCTTGTTTTGTTTCATTTAGTTTCACAGGTTTTTTTTTTTTTTTTTTTTTTGATTGTTGTTTTGTTCGCTGTTTTTGTCTAGATTTTTATTTAGATTTTAAATATTTTTGTATTTAATTTATTTATTTACACTGTTTTTTACACTTCTGTTTTGTTCATACTGATTTTGTTTTGATATTTGTTTTGTTCACATTGGTTTGATCTGTTTTTACATTTTTTTTCTTTGTTCACACTGTATTTTTATTTTATTTTTTTCCGTTTTGCTGGCAGGATTTCTGTTTTGTTTGCAGGATTTTTAAATGTTTATTTCACTCAAACTCTGCTCCTTTCATACGGTCAGCTGATCAGTCTATCCGCCGTCATCCAGTTATCAACAGAACTAAATCCTCCTTTTTTGGGGGGGGGATTTGCCTCTGATTTATGTCAGTCCCAATGTTAAAGGAGTGATCTGCTGCTTTATCGGTTTCATCACGCTCAGCTGAATTCAATAGTGCCTTGACAGCGGTTGACGTGACAGAAAAAAGCTGACAGTCTAGTGCTCCTCAAAGCACACTGTGACTGGCAGGCCTGTAATGGTATAGGACACATTTTCTAGATCAACCTGACCCACATTTTGTTGTTTCCCTCTCGTGACACAGCCTTTTTTGGCTTGAGCTTCTCATCATTTCACAACCGAGAGCTTAATGTGATGCTTTGCTTGTTTTCTGCTGTATCCAGATGAATTGTTAGAGTGGTGCGTCAACAGATCATTTGTTCTAACTGAACTGTATTTATGTGTTCACAGAGACATTAAGCCAGACAACATTTTACTGGACGAGCACGGTAAGCCCCAACGATACTATAAATCACCATCATTTCTGCTGTTGCTGCTTTTCTATTACTGTTGCTTAGCCATTTAGACATCAAAATGTGCTACACAGGCTCATTGTGGATATGTACCCCTTTCTACGTTTTTGGAGATTGCAAATTATGTAACCAGAGGCTGCATTTTGTCCTTAAAATGGACACTACGGGGTGGTATGACATGACCGATGGCTTCTGTTCATTTTAGCGATACCAGCTGACCGCTTATCTTGTATTTTCCGATGTTAGCAGTTTGCCCGGTTCCAGAAACCAGGTAAAACAAAAGCAAAAATAAATAAATAAATAAACAGCAGGCTTAAAGTGTGGTGAAATCATGTGGTCACGATGGCTTTTCTTTTTCTAGATTGCTTTTGAAAACACTATCGGTTGGGTTTAGGAAAGGTGGTGGGTGGGTCAGTCGGTCAGTAATTAAGGCCCTGTTTACCTGTTTTGGTTTGAAAACGCATAAGTTTTACTACAGTTACGCCATCCATCCACACTACGCCGGAGTTATCGAGCGCCGAAAACGGAGCGTTTTAGAAACGCTGAAGAGGCCGTTTTCATTTTAAAACGCTGCTGCTCCATCTCAGTGTGGATAAGGGAAACAGAGACATCTGGAAACGGAGGCGGGGCTGCCGACATTCGCCTCTCTGATTGGGGCTTTTCCTCAATATTAAGTAGCCAAACACACACAGTTCAGTCCTGCATCCTCTCCTTGTAAATTCAGACTTTGCAGGTTTGAAATGGAAAACAGACTCCCGGTGACACGTCGGTAGATCTTCAAAGGGAACAGTGTACTTTATAACATCAGTCACATCACCCTGGCTAAACCCTGGTTTAACTAAATCTTAACAATAAAATGAAAACATGAAATCAGGAACTGCCATTTTCATTTTGATATTAACAACTGAACAGACAGCAGAATTGTTGAGGCGTTGTGCTGCATATGAGCATCATCTTCACTGCATGCATATTCATAACAAAACGGAGGCTATAACATCACTGCCTCCTTTCTTTTTCATTGAAAATACGAAATATACCCTCTCTTTTGCTGAATATCAACTTTAATAATCAATAATGACCATTATAAAAGTATAACGTACAATACGTTTATACATTATAGGAAATAAAGGCAAGCAATCAGACAATATACAGAATGTACGTGCTTCCATTAATTATTAACTTATCTATGCGCTCAGCCAAAACACATTACCTGTGAACAAGTAATTGATTCAAAAGACTAAAGTCGGGGAATATGTCGATAGATATAGACAACAAGATGAATGAAATATCACGTTTAGCAAATAAAGTGAGATTAGATCCAGCGGGAGATCCTTGATGAACAGTCCAACAAGCACAGCTCTCATCTGGGTAGAAATGCTGCAGCGCATGCCAGAGTGTGTGTGTGTGTGTGTGTGTGTGTGGTCACGTGATGTGCGTTTTCAGTGTTTTGGTGTGGATGAAGAGCTGTTCAGAAACATTGGGTGAAACGCTAGTGTGGACGCGGATCGTTTTCTTTCTAAAATGCCGTTTTAAAACTAGTGTAAACGAGGCCTCAGTCGATAGCAAGCTGGCCTGGTCAGCTGAAGTGTATGTTGCGCCCTCTGGTGGATATATGTAAGAAGAGGATGCCTGAGAGAAATTTGAGACCATCAGAAAGTGCACACAGCGGTGGATTTGCAAAAACAAAAACTGCAAGCATACATACCTCTGGTTACGTAATTCGCTGTCCCTAAAAATATAGACCTGGGAGCGTATTCGTGATGAGCTTGTGTTGAAAATATACATATACAAGTAACCGTTTTTTTACTGTACCTTGTCAATTCTGAGCAAATGATGTGTGTGACTTTAAAAAACTACCATTACTATCAAGCCCCCCCCCCCCCCCAAAATAATGTTTCCTGCAATATGAAAAGGTGAATTAATACAGGGATTCTGTTTGATAAGGCACTGAAGGTTACTTATGGCAGTGAGACATTCTGGATGCTTCACATAGGTTTAGCTAACCAGTGTTGTCACGGAAGAAAGGAAAAAAAACTGCATAATTTTTCATCAATATGATAATAGAGAGTGGAATATTAATGTGAATATAGTTATGACCCCATCCCTAAACAAACACACACACACACACACACTCACACACATGCACACACATAGCAGATGGCTTACTTTTTCTACTGCTATATTCTCTCTCTCTCTCTCTCTCTGCATCTGTTGTTCTTTCTTATGCTGTTTCTTTTTGTGGTAAGCAAAAATGACCACACACTCTCCATACCCTTGCTTCATCATCTTTTTGTCATCTTTTAGTTAGGTGGTTTTATTTAATCAACCATTATTAAAGTTGGCTCAGTGGTTAGCACTGTCGCCTCACAGCAAGAACTGGTTCGAGTCCCGGCTGGGTGAGTTGGCATTTCCGTGTGGAGTTTGCATGTTCTCCCCATGTTGGCATGGGCTTCCCCCGGGTGCTCTGGTTTCCCCTACAGTCCAAACACATGCGCTATAGGGGGAATTGATTAACTAAATTAGCTGTAGTGTATGAGTGTGTGTGTGAATGTGAGAGTGTATGGGTGTTTCCCAACACTGGGTTGCGACTGGAAGGGCATTTGCTGCGTAAAACATATGCTGTAGTAGTTGGCGGTTCATTCCACTGTGGCGATTTCTGATGAATAGGTGCTAAGCCAAAGGAAAATAAATTAATGAATCTTAAAGATTTTTAAAGCATGAACAAAACATCCTTCGATATGAATAATAATATTACCATTCAACATATCATGAAGGTAAGCAACTGCTTATCTGGGAGAGGAGTAGAGAAAATATTCTAGTAACATAAACAGTGTGTATCTTACATGCACAAATTGTCAAGTTATATTGAAAAATAATTACTAATACCATCTCCGTAGTGTATGAGTGAGAATGAGTGTGTATGGAAGTTTCCCAGAGATGGGTTGCAGCTGGAAATGCCTCCGCTGCACAAAACAGTTGCTGGATTAGTTGGTGGTTCATTCCGCTGTGGCGACCTCGTATTAATAAAGGGACGGAAATAAAGCCGGAAAGAAAATGAATGAATGAATCTCCATAGACATGCGCATAAATTTAACAAACCCTGAATGGTATGTTCTGCTTGTAGTTACGTGTATTTGAATGTCTGAAATCTAAAATAAACCTTATTTGTTTGATTTACGACAAGCTCTGCACACCTCTTTTTGTGCCTCAGTGCATGTCGACAAAATGTAACTGTAGTGAATTGTAGCAGTTGATAATGTCCGCTTTGGACATTCTGATCACACCAGTGTGATCGTACGCTTCAGAGACCAGCCAAGGCTGATTAAACCGGTGTGCATGAAAGCGTTAAAATTTGTACATTTTCTTAAAAGTAGCCACTAGGGATGCAACAATACAGTTAGCCCACGGTTCAATACATACCTCAGTTTTTTAAGACGTTTTTCGGTTCGGTTCAGTTCTCATGGCTTGACACAGGCTTTTTTTTATTCTATAGGCAATAGGAACAGTAAGAGGTTAAGAAAAAATAAATAAAAACTATTTATTGCAATACTCATTTGGTTTTACTTAAAAGCCAAGAAAACTACAGTAGTTCCTAGTGTATTGTATAAAAAAAGATTAACACTGAAATTTCACAGTTGCTGGTAGCCCATGTACAAACTGGGGAACACATAAAATCCTACACTTTGAAAATAAACACACATGTGAAGTTAATAAAGATAAATTGGCAATTTCAAATAAACTTATTTGTACTTCAGTAAACATAAATAAACCATCTTAATTATCTTGGTGCTGAAAAAATGTGAGACTGTAGTCTGTAACGCGGATTGAGTGCTTTTATAAGATGACAGAAGCCCACATCTCCAATCACGGAAAATGGCTGCAAATCTTTAGCAATAATCACCCGCACTGCCTTTGTTATTTTTATGTGTCTCTCTGAACCAGTTGGGTTTGTTTGCTTGAAAGATTCAGCGAGGGATTGTTGCTATTTGTAGGACTTTTTTACCTTCTCTGCTATCCTGCTTCAGACAGTGATATTGCTGGGTGATGATGCTGCAGATGTGCAGTCATGATTATACGTGTAAAACAATGCTTGCACAGTTATTTTTTGTTCACCGTTTTTTCTTTTATTGGCATTCTACTTACCGGCGAAACCGAAAGGTCCTTACACCGCAGATTTGATAGACGCCGGAACCATGTTAAAGTGTTGAATGATGGTCAAGCGCCCCCTAACTTTAGAGCATGGTGATTGGATATTTACTTGCACAGTCAATTCGTGGAGATATAAAATGCACATAAATTATTTAAACGCAAAACCGAGAAAACCGCAATTCACAAGCGCGTATTGAACCGTGGAGGTCGTCTCGAACAGTTCAATATTATATTGAGAATCCTGGCATCCCTAGTAGCCACTAAACTGACAAAATGCAAAAAAAGTTACATTTCCTCTTGAGATCAGGCCAGTTCACACGCAGCTTTTTGGCTCAGCCGACAACACAGTTGGTTTTTATCGCCGCTAGTTGTTTGGCATCAGCTTGGCCCAGAAAACCGTTGCTCTAGACAAGGATTGCCTACAGTTTCTGTCCTTTAATATAAGCCTCAGGCATATCTATTCCTGAGCTCATGAACATCTCAGAGGGCTTTCTGTCATTTAGATTTGTTGTTGTCTTTACAGTTTAATGTCACTTGTCTCAGACGAACTGTGAAAGCAGAATGTGATGGACAGAACAGCCTGTTGTCTACACTAGACAGCACTGAACGCTTGAGAACAGTAAATGTGATCCTGAATCACAAAAACAGTTTTATGTTGCACAGGGATATTTTGGCATTAGTCAAAAATACATTTTATTGGTCAAAAATATAAATTTTTATTTTATTTACATTTACATTTAGTCATCTAGCGGACGCTCTTATCCAAAGCGACTTACAAATAAGGAAAAGGAAGCAATTTACACAACTATAAGAGCAACAATGAATAA